TCTTTCCCTGTTTTGTTTAAATAATGATGGTTAATCGCCGCAACTTTGAATATTATGCACTGTGGAAATGAGATGTAGTCATCAAATTAAAGCTGTGTTATTTTTTTCAAACAGACTGAAATCAGGAGCAGATTTGTGCTAAAGTCAATGGGTAAGTAATTACAGAAATTCTGGCTTTGCCTGTGGGTTAGATCACTACTGCGAGTGCTGTAACATAAAAGCAAATTCACACAATTCTGGTGCAACACATAGGGAAATGGTACCTTACAGAAAGGTCTAACCAAAACAACTTAAAGATCTCAACGCCCATGAAACACAATACTGTTACTTAAAAGATGCACAAACTTAAGCTACCATATTTCTTACGCACATATTGGTGTAAAATTGAAATCAAGTTTTACAACTACATTGTCACAAAGCTTGAAAGTTAGATGTCTATGGATTACACAAATATTTGTCTACCAACATACCTGTGGACTGTGAAGATCTGTTGTCAACATGATAATTGAGTAAGCTAAAACATATGCAGTATCTGCACTAGCAAAAAGAGTTTGCCTGAAGGGGGAAAGGAGACAAAGAACAGAAAACTTAACGTATTAGGATTTTTAACTTACTATTCAGCTTTCCAGTTCTGAAGACAAAGTATGGCTTACCCTTGGTTACATTCTAAGTATCTAGCAGCAAATTTCTCCATTAGACGATCAATTTTTTGTGCCTCTCCTGGAAGACGAAATCCCTCTAGAAACATGCGCAGAGCTGAAACAAAATCCTTTCCTGAAAAGTCGTGTTGGTCTACATATGCATACATGACTTCTTTGTTAAATTTGTCATTGTCTCCCAGGAACTCCCCAACCTGAGTCTAAAATAAGAAAAGACAAACTAGTGCATTTACACTGGAAAAAAAAACAAACAAGTAAGTAAGAATAGCAGAGCCATCCTGCCCCTATGTCTCAAAAAGAGAGGCCTGTATGCAGTTAAATAAGACATATTCCTGTTTCTTCTCTACTCTCTAAAGCAAAGTATTTTGGCCATATATTCCATCCTAATGCTCTTACATGCGCATACATATCTGCCTACTTTCCTCCTTCTCTGGTTTTACTCATGTACCATCTTCTTCTAATAGATGAATTCCACATGTGCACCAGACTAAGTTAATGCTACCAATGATTGATTGTTCTTTGCTGTAATGACTTTTGTAGTTAGGAAACTTACTACAGGAATGAAAAGCTTACTAAACTTAACTTTATCCCACTAGAGTACAGATGTCAAAGAGATGCAAGTGATGCTCAAATATAAATAGCTGGTACTCAAATACATCCAAGCTGATCACTGTCAACACAACACAGTACAGTGAAAAACACTCAGCATTCAAGATGCTTGTATACGTGAACTGAGGTTAAAAAATTGTTTTAATGGCTGATTCTAAGTTCTAATACTGAAATTTGCGTCTTCAGTCACAGCTGCAAGCATGGGCACATGCAAACCTTTCCTTAGAAAACAACGGGGGTGGCTGCTAAGCATAATGGTGCAGACTGCCATTTCACAAAGCTGTTCTTCATGACAATACCAACACAAAACATTCCCACCCTCCTCAGCCAGATATTGCAGAACCCTTCCAAGTCCAGCAACAGCTGCCAGCTGTAAATAAAACCAAAGAACTAATCTAGATGAAATAACTTTCCTTTGGGAGGCAGCAAAAAAAACGCTTTTCATGTTGCACCACTTTATTTTTTTGCCCTCTGAAGGGCAGTTACTTCTGGCAGTTCCTTACTGGACTAACGCACATACAGTTGAGTAAGTCACTTCTAGCTACACTAGCAACTAAGTACAAGTTTTGACTCAGCTCAAGCAGATCAGTCTTTTTCTCTACCCTTCACTGAACCGCGGGATGCATATAGTAAAGGGTATAGCTCTCATGCATACTCCGATTCAAATTCCTTGAGCTTACAAATTTTAGAAGAGGGAGAAGTTTCCTTTTCTGTGTTGTACAATAATGTTACACACTTTAAAACACTATCATGTGATTTGCAATTAGTATAAAAACATCAGCATGAGCAAAACCAACCATCACGAAAAGAGTTTTCTTACTGAATCTAATCTTTCCTCTTGATGCAAGAACTGAGCAATATCTTCAGGGGTAGTGCCAAGCATTCCTTGTTCTTGCAGGTACTGAATCCCCCTCTTTGGTTTCTTATTGAATCTGTACAATCAAGATCAGGATGGAATGAGAGTTAACCCTTTTACCCATGCACAAAGCCGTCCCAGTTTAAGTAAAAAGATTCAATAATTCTAGATGAGGTACTGAAAAACCTACGTATTAAATATTTTTCCATTATCAAACTGTGCATTAGACAGGAATGTGCTATTCCCTTCTATGACTTATTTCCTTCATCAATGGATGATTTTATGTGTTTTTTTTTTTCCCCTGTAAACAGCTTCCTCTTCCTCTTTGCTACATAACTGCCAGTACAGCACGCAAGTAGCTCCCAGTAAAGAGAGCTAAACACTACAATTTGCTCCAGCACTCATGAAGAAAAAAAAATATTCCACAGAAATAGCAAAGTCCTGGATTGGAAAGGAACAATTACGCTCTGCTGCTTTTTGTTTTAATCTGTATGAAACAATCAAGAAATCCGTGAGTTGCCTGTAAGAATGGAAACGTACAAGACAAGGAACCAGGTCACTGAAAGAAACGGAAACCCTAAGGACTAAGGCATGTTCGTTGAGGGGCTGAGCACTGTACTACAGAAAACTTTTGGTTTTCCATAAAGTGACCTCACTGAGGAGATACGGTGACAAGGCTGAAATCACACAGAAGATTCATGTCAGACTGCACTGAGAAATTATACTATCCTCCAGTTCTAAATATGACAAGTTAATTAATCAGGAGGAAGCATCCGCTTAAGCATATAGGCACTTTCATCAGTAATGTGTACAACTAAGATGGGTCGTATTCAACTAGCACTGTACTACAGAAAACTTTTGGTTTTCCATAAAGTGACCTCACTGAGGAGATACGGTGACAAGGCTGAAATCACACAGAAGATTCATGTCAGACTGCACTGAGAAATTATACTATCCTCCAGTTCTAAATATGACAAGTTAATTAATCAGAAGGAAGCATCCGCTTAAGCATATAGGCACATCAGTAATGTGTACAACTAAGACGGGTCATATTCAACTGATCACATGAGTTCAATGCTCTTTTCACCCAAATATTAAAAAACTCTTATTTTTAGACAAGCAGGTCTGGAGAAAAAAGAACAAACATTCAGAGTACTCATCTTCTAGCTGTGAGGAATTAGGTTAAGACAAAACACTGTTGACAGGCTCCAAAGGGGACACCATTCAGCACTCTTTCACCAGAGGAAGTGCTGTTACATCCAGAGTTTTTTTCCTAACACAAGATGAGTATCTATGAGGAGAAGGAAGAAAAACCCAGGAATCTTCATAGCTCCAAAAGAATCCACCCTCCCATGGGTGATAAAAGGGCACTCACAAGTCAATTCCTTGTTCTATTATTTCCTTTTGTTGCTTTAGGACCTCAAACTGCTCTGGGTTGTCAGTGCCAGACATCTGTGTGCTGTAACTGCCAATTCCTGAGGAAGCAGTAGAATCCAAGGAATTCAAGCTCCCGTATCTGTTAATTGTTTCAGGGTGTTTGGTTTCATTGCTGTCCTGTTCTGTGGGTTTTTCTTGGCCTGCAAATTAGAAAGGGTTACATACATACAAAATACAGACATTGAAAAGAAATTAAAATTACAGGTTATTCTTCAAATCCTCTCTGAAGGCTTTTAAAACTTACTAAGGTTATCTTCAATGATCCATTTATTTTTTATACAAATACTCTGCTTTTGTTTTGGTTGGGAAAATAATCAAAAAATCACTACAAGATATCAAGGAGGATTCTTTCAGTCCATCACATACCTGAAATTTAAGCCTTAAATTAACACTATGATTTGTAGGCACTTGGAAAGAAAATATACACCACCTTAGAAACCCAATTACAGATCTTTTATTTTCAAATCCGATCTTACTTTTGACCTGAAGCGAATCACACTAAGTTTTTGAAACAGAGTGTCTAAAAGTGTTTATGATCAGACATGCCAAGGAGCTGGTGCTCTCAGTTCACAAAGGCAGCCGTGCTAACCACCTCCAAAAAAGTTTATTACTTCACCTACCAACTTCAAGTACTTAATCTGAAAATTCTGGCATAACCTTAAGTACTTTTCAACTCAGGTCAGATGGCAACAGGATTAAAACAAGTAACGATTTAGTTACTTCACTGCTTACAACACTGAAAGTTCTTTAGCTATATATTAATAAATTTTTAAAAAATGCTCTCCATCCAGCTTGCTTCAGTAGTAAGTTAATCAATATGAAGTTAGATTAAATTAGGGGAGCTTCAAAGTAAGTTTTGTGATCCTTTTAAAATTAGAAAATAACAGGATTTAGTAATTTTCAGTGTAGTAGCTTTCTAAGAATTCATACAATTCAGAAAAGACAACTTAGACAAGTTCAAATGACACCAATCCAAACTTACCAACATTTCTACCAAAGAAAAAAGAACTTCATTCTCTCTCTTTTTTTAATGCAAGAGGTTTTACCAATCTGGACACTAACAGTACCAAAATACTGGAAAAATGCACTAAACTCCTGCAGCACCTCTTTACTAAAGCCAGAAGAAACACATCTCATGTCTTACCAAGCGTTGTCTGAGAATTGGGATTTACATATTGATCCTTACTCCACTCCACCATGCACTTCAAGATCGATACTAAGCATTCCAATCCTTTTTTTCTCAAACTTAATTCCTAGAAAAGATTTCAAAAGCAATAAATTAGTGGAACGGAGAGTTTAGTCTTAACCTATTGTGCCAAGAAACATGAAGCTTCGTAAAGTTTGGTGGAACTTTTACCTGAACATTGGACATGCCAAGTTCTTGGCTACCCCTTCCTTGAGCAATCTTTGATAGGTCATTAACCAGCCTTTCAAATATATTTGCTGCATTTAAATCACAATCATAGTTCACATAGATGTCCACTACGCTCTGGGCATCTATAAACAAAGTGATATTGTCAAACTTGGAACAAAAACTAGATCATTCAATGAAAGGCAAGTACAGTTTTGTTCTTTAGCATAAAAATGTAGAAATTAGAATCAAACAATCCTTAATACCTGCACATATCCTTGTCAACGTTTGTATAACCATCCATTTATGATCAAATGAGCTAGTAGAAGTTTCCAAGATATACAGGAAAATTTCTTTGAAGAAAACCTGACAAACATTCCAGGAAGAGGGAGAAAAAAAATAAAATCTATTACAAACACAGTCACTAACTGATGGCCAATATTCTGACATAATTCTGAATGCAGCACTTTAGAGGTACTGGGGATAAGGGGAAAAAAAAGGGAAAGGAGGAAATACAACTTACGCTTGATACATTCAAATTAGGAATTCAAGTTATTACTTATGTACTTCCGGAGTTTTGTCCAGCTGAAAAATTTGGTTTATATTCTGATCACTCAAAACCAGAAAAACTGGGAATGATGTGAAGTCCTGAAGGACAATTTAGCCTAACAAGAAGTCTAAGCTGCTGTTAGAGCTCATTTTTGAAAGGAGAGGTATTACCTCACCACACAAGATTTTCTCTATGAGATGATGATATTATGGCACAAACACAACAAACTGCCACTTAGGCCAATTTAAAGTATCGGACTTTCATTAGAAGGGAAATATCTCAACACAAAAGAATCACTCTACGGTATTAGATTATTGGAAGAAGGGTACTGGTCAGGCACAGCATAAAAAATGCAGTGCAGCAGGTCCATTTAGTACAGATGCTTTAGTACAGATGCTTTTGTTTGGAACAGAGACTATTTTATCCCCTCTCAATTAGCTCCTCACCAGATCCAGTAATATTCTAGGCTATTTCAGCAGAGCATACTTAGCAGCTAGGGCAGGCTTTTTCTCACTTCTTTCCTAAGCAGCAGCAACTGCTGTAACAGCATATGAACTCCAAATGTGAACTGTTACACAGCATTACATCACCATCCTACACAGCATTACATCACCGTTCTGCACTTCTGAAAGCTCACCTCTTCATAGCCAGCTGTGGCTACCAAATCCACCAACTCATGTTTTTTCTAGAATGCCACCGATGGTCTCAAGCCATCAAGCTCCTGTTCTCCAACAGCAGCACACAAATATCCAAATATATAACTATCCTTGTTTTTAATATTAGATATTCCCTTATACCACGGAATTTTTACAGAGATTTTTATGTTATTAGCTACGTAGAGATAAACATAAGGCTAATTTCACTTTAAATCCCATGTCTGGGGGAAGAAGAGCAACACTGACTTTAAAGCAACTTTGATGGTAAATTATTTCCTCAAGCAAAATGTGCTAATAATATTTCCATTTTATTGGCCTCTTTAGAGAAAAAGAGGCACACAGCACAATCCCAGTTACTACGCTTATTAAGGAAAGCATCCCTACAAAACCTAAGGAGTTCAACATGTAACAGATGAAAGACTTTCAAGTGCTTAAATATACTCAAGAGTACTAGACTGATTTTAGCCACAATCTTATGTAATCCAAACAGAGGAAGACATAAAATTTTAATAAAGGTCATGCTATGAGCAATCCTTAGTTACATATTTGCTGTTCTCTGATTTTTTACTGAAAGACAGTAATGTTATTACCCTCTGGAATCAAGAAAATAATTTTTTTTCTGGTACAGAATTTAAAAAACAGAAGTCACTGATGGAGCAAAGAAAAAAGTTTCAAGTATAAAAATTAAACCTAAATCTAAGCTAGAAGAGAAATTAGCTAGAAGGTCTGCACACTACAAAGACACTTTAGATCTGTATGCTTCAGAGACAGAGCTGACTTCTTGTTTCTGGTGTAAACATTGGACAAGCAGATCTTGGAATGAACAGTTTCTCAAAGTTGTACCAATTATTTACATTTCCAATATTTAAAAATGCTATCTATCATTATGTTACTTATTGCAATTCCATGTCACAGAGTTGAGACTTTATTCCCAGCATATCAGAAAAGTAAACCAGAAAAGAGCTAATTATTTAGTTTGGTCAACTGAAAAGTTTTAAGATAGCTTATTCACAGTTATGAAAGGGTAGTAATTGTAAATACAGCTAAATGACACCCCAAATCCCCTGATATCTAGGACTCGATTTACCGCAAATATCTTCATTGACCCATTTAGAAATACAGTTACAATACAATTAAGGTACAACTCAACTATTTTAACTGTTCGAGAGCAGTATTAGCTGAATATGCAAGTCAAAGGACCACGGGAGGGTCACTTTCAATAGAATCTGAAACTATTATTTTAAAATATGTCAAAAACTTGAGAATGCAACCTCAATCCCACTATATATAGATTTTGCATATTGTAAGTCAGAGCATATGGCTCTCCTTACAGCTCTAAGATGCAAACCGAACGTGAAAATTATCTACTTGTCTACCCACATCTTCTGAATAACCTTTAGGATCAGTAGCTGAAAGAAGAGGAATTCTTAGCTCACAACCAGGAAAAAGAGTAAGTTTCTAGAAATTGCTGTCCCCCATACTTTGTAATAGATGGATACTCTGGCAGCATCAAGCTTTTCGCTTTCATATTTGGGAGGAGGAAATGCAGTCCTGCTATGTGGCAATGGTCCTAATTTAGCACATTCTAGAAGCTGCTACAATAGTCTAGGGTATCCTATATCCAGTTCTCCTCAGATATGTCTTCATTTTCTGTTTGGAATTGGTGAAAGGATGGCAGCGATGGAAGCTCATCAAATTTCTGTCAGGGAAGCCGGATTGCAATGCATTTACCACCTACACGCCGACTTGTAAGCCCTGCAAACACACAACGAGCCCAACACTTTCTGGGAAGCAGGTTGTGTGACTGCAGAGCAGCTCAGCCCAGACTCTCTGATGTGCTGAGCGCTGCAGATGCACTACAGTCTTGTTGAGCACACAGAGTTTGTCTTGAAAGTTCAAAATCCATCATATTTTCAAGGCACATCCAATCAATGACCAAAACTGTACTTCTATCCAAGCTATGCTCAAGAAATACCGGAAATCCTACTGTTTCTTCCCCAAAAAGGCATCAGAATAACCTGGTAAGTGATCAAAACACAATACCCTTCTGACATGGTACTGGCGAAATGACGTTCTTCCTCCAAAGCTTATCACCTTAATACAACGACATCCACAGATGAAGAAATCCCTGAATTCAAGGTCCTTGTAACAGCAACGTTACCAACATTTATCAGCATCTCTTCACACCTCCACACTTATGGGGCAATCTGTAGGCTTCAGTATTCACACTGACTCCCAAAACATAAATTTACCAGAGTGAACAGTAGGAACACGCTGCACACACTACTACTTTATTCATGATGGAATTAAGGTCTTTAACACATGGGACACACAAGAGGGTATCCATGTGTTTTAAATGGACAGCATGTTCCAAGAAGCTCCTTGTACCCTACGGCACAAGAATTAGAAGCCAAGAACAAAACATCTATGTACATCTTGCTTTCCCCTATGACTTAGAATACATCGATCCAGCGAGAAAATCTGCAATGCCTGTTAGGAACCAGATAAGTCCATATTCTTAGCAATAAGAGTTATCTCTGCTTACGCTCCAAGGAGTTAAATCATATAGCGAGAAAATCTGCAATGCCTGTTAGGAATCAGATAAGTCCATATTCTCAGCAATAAGAGTTATCTCTGCTTACGGTCCAAGGAGTTAAATCATACGTACACCTTTTGAGACCTGAAGAAATGAGATTATCTTATTCAGGACGTATATTGATGCAGGACCTGATATACAAAGGGAAGTGGTTACAATCATCAAATAGCTGGGATTTCCCTAGAGAAAGGTATCTGTTCAAGTGACTTCAAAGAGAAGCCACAATGCATTTCAAGTCATTAATTTTTATTCTGAAATTCCTTCGCAAAACCATATATTACATAGTCTTTTCACAAATCTACTTACTTTCTTAATTTGTACTTCCTAATCATATTATCATATCCTAATCATATATATTATATTATTGAACATTGGTTGATCAAGCTTATCCCCAAACCTACTGATTTCTGAGTTTCATCATCATTCTGCAATTATACCATGCCACAGCCAACAGAAAACTTTGATTTTAAACAAACTCACTCATATAGTAACAGTAGTGACTATGGGCCTAATAAATTATGATTGTAAAAATTTACCTCCACCATAGCGTAAACCAAAGTATATTTTGTATTGTAGAATTTCTTAGTTTATGTTAATGTCTATTATTAAGTGATGAAATGGCCTACTTCTTTATTAGGTACTTCGTTTCATGTTCTAGTTAAAATACGGTGGGATTTTTTTTTTAACACTCCTGCAAAAGTTTTTCCATCACTTTCCACTTCACCAAACTTAACACTACCACAAGTGCCACATTACTTCTGATGTTACAGAGCAAATCTTATTTAATCTGTAGTATTCCAAAGGAAATGCTGCTAATTTATTCGAAGAGGGTTTCAAGTGCAATGTTGCAAGCAAGTCCGTTGTCACTGGGTGAAAAAGAGCTTCTATGCTTGGGAAGATCTGGCAAGTCTCATGCAAAAGCTGAGATTCAGAATGGAAAAAGAATTTATCTAAGCAAGACCAAGCTACACACAAACATAAAAAATGGTCACTTAACACCTCCCGCCCCTTAAATTAGAAATTCATGTAACGTACCTCTATCTGCATCTTTAGATGAGTCTTAAAGTTTGACAGGAGGGTAAGAAATATGGAAAGCGAAAGCTCAAAAACTTCTGGAACTGATGAGACTCCATTTTTTGACAGTGCAACACAAAGATACTGCTTAATAGCATTAATAAACATCTCATTTGTCCTGAAGACAGGTCCTGCATTTTGCAGAATGGACAGAAGCAACTGCAGCGAAAGAATCTTTGATCGCAGTTCATGAGATCTAAAATAAAACAAAGCAGTGTATCAGCTCAGTGTAAGTCATAAAAAATAAAATATTCTCTTGAAAAGTCAATACACTCCACAATGATTTTGTATGTGAAATGTTCATGAAATAAACTCAAATTTGACACAATTTGGTGTAGAAAGAGTCATAAAAAGATGTTGATCTTTTTTGTTGAAGTGGTCACTCTTCAGCCAAGAAGGTGGGCAAGAATATCCTTTCCCAGTTACTGATTCTCTCCATTACTCTTGGGCCACTCTCTCTCCTGCAGCACAGCACCACAAAACAGCAGCAACTGTAGGTGACGCTGTCCATCTTATCCAAAGGATGATGGAAGCATTCTGTCCTCTGAATGGATTTTTGGAACATCCTATCTAAAATGTTCAGCCCATCTACAGAACCCCAGTTACCAAAAGGTGGAAATTCCTCCTCCTCTATTTCCACTAGCATGGAAAGGGAGATGAAGGACCATAAAGACAACAGCTGTACTGCCTGACCTACTTTCTCTCAACACTGAAATCTCTTTTCTCAAATACAGTATTTTATATTGTTTATCAGTCACGTGCCTATTTTAAGCATGGCAATAGCAAAGTCGGGCAACTGCAGTGTTGTCAAGTGCTCCACAGTAACACCACGCTCCTTACAGACTGAAGTAAGTTAGAATTCATGTCAAAACAGTGCTACTATTTCTGCTTTAAAAAAACCAAAAAAAAAAAACAAAACCCAACAACAAAAAAAACAGTCAAAAAAACCCCCAAACCACACACACAAAAGCGCGTAAAGAAAATCTGCATCTCTGAAAATATAATGCAATTTAAATAGCATTGTGAAAACATTCTCTCATCAGACTCCTGATGCTCCTTCCCGCTTTGATCATCTCAAAAAAAAATTCAGCTTTTCTGAAGAGCAGGTATAGACACAACTGGCTTTTCCAACAAAACAGTCCACAGCTTTCATTGAACAACCACCCACTGACAGAAGACAGTTACGAAACATAAGGAACAATGACAGGAAATTTTTCATACAGTACAGCCCAGTCATAGCATGGAGCGCTTCAGGTCAACATGTGACACACACAATAATTGGATAATTGCTGTGCACTGCAAAAATATGAGCTTAATGAAAAAAAAGTAATTCCAGCCTAACCAGAAAGAAAAATGCAAATTAGTAACAAGTATGTTGCAAATAAATGCAATGATTTCTGTACACTGGCAAAGTGGTATGGGGGCGAGGGGGGAATCAATCTGCAAACATTTCAAACTCATAGAATATAATCCCAAGCTTAGAATTTTTGTCTGAAGACACTTTTGACAACCAAAACATAGCCAGTCAAATAGAGTGAGGAATCTGTTCCTCCCATTCCTCCTAACAGGCTGCAGATCAAAGTACATGCCCCAAAACAGCTCTCTATAGGAGTTCTTTAAGAAAATGTCTGGCTCTGGACACTGCACAGCTGCATGG